ATTTTGGTCTAAAAGGTCACTGAACCGGCTATTATAGGTTGACAGGGATTAAAAGAGTAGGTCATATTCTAGTTTAAGGTTCCATAAAGTCCGACAAAAACTTTAGAGACTCAATAGATAAACCGTAGAAAGTTCATAGGGCATTTGTGTCATTTTCTCTTTTTAAAAATAAGTCATATTTTAATTTTTTAATCGTATATTATGTTTTAAATTATTGTAAGTTTTTTTATTTAATATTAAGTGTTTGTCTCAAAAATAGTATAATTTATGTAGGGAAAATGTCACTGTAACCCTACGAACTTTCACATTTTGGTTTAAAAGGTCCCTATTGTTACTTTTTGGCTTTATAAGGGCATGAATTCTCTTTTTACCGGCTTTTAAGGTCATTTTCTAGAAAATGAAGGGGTCACCCGATCACCCATTTTCCAATCAGCCAATTATCTTGTATACATCATTAAAAAAGCCAACTCATTTGCCAAATCAGATGCCACCTAATGTATCGTTAAATGAGACAAACAGGAGAGCACAAATTTGAGGGAGAACGACCATGTGAAATCCATCGCCATTATCAACACTTCCCCTCAAAATAGCATTCATCATCTCTTTCTTTCTTTCTCACTGCTTCTTCTTCGTCTTACTCTCCCCCAACCCCCAACCCCTATTATCATTCCATCTTAATTCCGAAAAGTCAACTCCAAGAAACAACGACCACTGCCACCACTAGAGACATACTCGCACTCCTTGGCACACCTCAACAGGTTGCATCCATCGACCCCCAAGTTGTTATTGAACTTCAATCCTGCTTCAATTTCATCGTTCCTTTTAATCCTACTACCAACACTCCACCTAATTACTGTTTCAATTTAATAAATCGACTAAGTCAATCCCTAACCGAATCAGAAATTCGATTTCTGCGGAGCGCGCTGAATTCTAAACCCTGTTGTGACGCTGAAAGTTATCAGAATGAGCTTATCTGGTCACCACCGGCACCTGTGTTGGAGATTGCTTGACTTGCTTTTTATTCTAGTGGCGATCCAGGTTTTGTTCCAATCTCTCCAACTCCTATGCAAAAGGGATTTGCTTGCATCTCTTAAGCAGGTATCAACTGTTACAAATTAGCAATTTTCTGTAATCAAATAGCTTCATACTCCTAGTCGTTGGTAGCAAAAGATTAACAATGATAAAGAATCGTAATCGGACCTCAATCACTCAATGTGCTCACTCTATTTCTTTCGGAAGTAAAAAACTGGAGTGTAATTGAAGCTTCCTTTAACTATGTTACATGTACCATATTGTGAAGGCTCAAATGGAAATCGATGTGAACTAACAAGATATCCTTATGGAAGGCACTTTATAAACGAGGTTTTCATTGCGAGAATTGAATTCATACAAGTTGGGTGATGAAATGGGTGACCACTGAACCCTTATGACACAAGCAAGGCAACTCGTTAGTGAGTCGGTAATGTGTCATCCGAGTTGGGTGAGTTGACTCGATAACTGAGTTGGGTGATGACTAGGCAAAGAAACCGGTTGAATTGGAGAAAAATCCCTAATTAGCTGGTAAAAAGAGAATTCATGCCCTTATAAAACCAAAAAATAACAATAGGGACCTTTTAAACCAATATGTAAAAGTTCGTGGGGCTACAATGATATTTTCCTATTTATATAATATTAAATGTTTATGTATTTAAAAAAATATAATTTATTTAAACTTGAAAAAAAAACCATGCTAAATGTGGTATAACTCGGTATGAAAAAGTAAGAGTAAGATATTAGCAAGATGAGAGAAAAAAAATTACATGACATTCAAAAATATAAAGTGATATAGTGCTAAAAATGAAACAATTTATCTTCCGCCTAAATTCATGCATCCTGAATAAAAAGAAAACAATGGTAATGAGGGTGTTTGTTTTATCTTTTAAAACATCTTTTAGCTTTTAGGAAAACATAAAAAGGCAAAAGATGTTTGGTAATCTAGTAAAAGTTACTTTTTTATATAAGGGAAAATGAACTTTTTGGAAAAGTTAGAGAATCCTGACTTTTTGCAACTTTTCCTAAAAAACTTTTACCTTTCAAAAGCTTAACCAAACACCCCGTAAGTTTTTCTACATCTATTGTATCAATAACCTTTCTAGCATTTCCTTATAGTAATTAAGTTTCCTATCTGTTAGCAATCATTAGGATGAGAGTTTTCCGTATTTGTTTGTTTGTTTTTTTATTTTTTTTGTTTTTATTATTATTATTATTATTATTATTTTTGTAAAGTACCGTCTAATTGTTCATATATTTGTACTTTTTTAATGTGAAACAAAATTTTCATATAAAGGAATTGTTTTATATTTGTGTTTTTCATGAGAAACAAATTCATCAACGAGTAATTATTGCCAAATTATACGGTAGCTTGCTATATTTTATAGCAAGTCCTTGGTAATGCGATTTGGGGGGCCACAAAATCTTATAACAAGTCGTTGGTAATGCAATAATTTAACTACAATTTGTGGTAAAAAAATTCGTTATTCTTGGCAATTTTTCTGTTAATATTAAAACAATAAAAAGCTATTATGTTTCTTATTATGAGGAAAATGAGTATTCAATTTCAGGTACTTGATTCGTATCTCAAAACCTATACATTAGAAAATTTTTAATGTCTCTTAGAAAAATAAGTATACAATAAACAAATAGGAATTAATTTAATTTTTCTTAGAAACACTAGTACAGAAGATGTTTAATAAAACGGTTTATTTTATTTTTTGATGCGGTTATTCAACCGCTTCAAAAAATATAGTATTTTTTTTTTAAACCGCCTTAGAAAATATCCAAAACCGTCTTATAAAAATAGCTTCATAAATGATACTTATTTTTTGTTACTGTTCAGAACCGCCTTATAGATTATACTTATTTTTTGATGCTGTCCAGAACCGCCTTATAAAATATAGCTTCATAAAATAGAGTTATTGAGTTATTTTTTGATGCTATTATTAAACAGCCTTAGAAACACAATTATTTTTTGATGCTGTTATTAAACAGCCTTAGAAAATAGAGTTATTTTTTGATGCTGTTATTGAACAACCTTAGAAAATAAACGGCTTTTTAAAATACAATACGAATTGCAACATAAAATATCATAAACTGCTTGATTTACAATACAGAAACAAAACAACAAAAAATCATAATAGATGTAAAGGCACAAACCATACAAGAGATTCAAATTATCTTAATAAAAAAACACATTTTTTTCTAACCTTTTCATCCTTGTATCTATTTACAAATTGATATAATAACTTAAGATATGTAAGTTGTTAAGGAAGTTAACTACAGAAGCATATTCAAGTTTTTTTTTATATAGACGTGTTCAATTTCGTTATCACCATCTTCATATAGCCCCTCTTCGGTATCTTGCAGACTTTTGGAGATGATACCCACCTTTGACTCTGTTACCTCACTTGGGTAGGAATTCAGAAGCTAATTAAATTACAAAGTAATTTTATCAAAAGGCATACAATCCATTTAATTAAAAAGTAAATTACACAGGTTAGAAATATTATCAATACAAAGGAAAAAATTTGCCTTGTTTCAATTTTTGTAGATAAAAGACATGAGATTGTTACTTTTTTTTAGGTTTTTTCTACCTTTATATCTTCCCCTGCATAGATATGTGCTCTCCTTTGAACGTCACAAGCTTCTTTGCCCAACCCCTTCTTTCTCCCACAACCTAACTTAAGAAATCAGAGTATCAGACATATAGATTAAATAATTTTATGAATCAAAATTATAAATCAGAAACATACATGTTAGTCTTGACGCTGGGTTGATCGCGATGGACAAAGATGATTATAGTGGAGGTCGACTCCTCAAAGATTATTCAGATTCATCACGGATGAGAGGACCCAAGGATGTTGGTGAGGGTGGCAGTAGTCGATGATATTAGGGTTTGTGTGGCCAAATGAAATTAGATTAAGGAAATATAAAGGGGAAGAGAAAGGCATCGCGCGGGGAATGAAATTTTGGAATGAGCTTCAGTCCGGGAATAAAAATAAAGAGGGAACTCAATCCAAAACCACATCAAAAAATGCATTTGCTATTCCTATAGTTTTGCAAAACGGCATCAAAAAATACATTTATTAGTGCGATTTTTAAAAGTAGTATCAAAAAATGCATTCATTAGTGCTTTTTAAGAAAACATCATCAAAAAATACATTTATTATTAGTGCGGTTTTAGAAAATAGCATCAAAAAATATATTTATTAGTACGATTTTGAAAAACAGCATCAAAAAATGCATTTATTAGTGTTTTTAAAGAAAATAACATCAAAAAATACATTTGTTAGTGCGATTCCTTGATTTATTAATGCTAAAGTGTTTTAATGGTGCGGTCGTAGGGTAAAACGTACCGCACAAAAAAAAAAAAAAAACTCATCGCATTAAAAAATACGTTTTGTACTAAACATTTAGTGGTTTTTTTTTTTTTTTTTTTTCGTGGGAAAGGGGTGAAAGTTACAACTCTATTATTTTAGCATCGAACAAAATGTCGTTTCTAAAAAAATCTTACTTTACCGATGATATTTTTGAGAATTTTTATAAAAGAACTGGGATCTTTCCTTCCAAAGTTCAATAATATAAGAAACTAATTTATCAACGAAATAGTTGTTGAAAAATTAGGGTGCCTTTTATGGCAAGTCGTCGATAAAATAATTATTTAACTATGAAAGTCAGGAATTCTTTATTATTAGCAATCTTTCTATATAAATATTAAATCAACATAAAATTATTATATGCGTCGTTCTCTATTCTTATTCCAGCCGGCAATTTGTTTTCGTGGAAAAAAGAGAGAAAATTGCAAGTTTGCAACCCCTTAAGTCAAAGGTCTAACCATGAATTAAATTTCTCCATTAAATAATCAAACCGAGATGGCACATTTCAGCACACAAATTCAATTGTTCTTGATTATTGTATATTTGTATCCCTTCCTTATATTTTCTCCCTTGATGCTTCCTATCAAAATGAAGCAGTTTCAACTTTTGCATTTACTTATCCTGATTTCGTTAACAACATTCACAAAAGCGCAGAATCACATCCAGACGAAATGCAACAATGTTTGTGGCAGTGTCACCATCGATTTCCCATTCGGAATTGGAAGAAATTGTGCTCTTAACGAATGGTTCAAGATTGATTGCAACTCCTCGACACCATATCTACGTGCACTCAACAACGTGGAGGTGTTGGAGGTAACATCAAGTCGACAAACAGTCGTTGTTAATGTCTCCACAATTCCCGATTGCAAGAATCCAATCCAGAACAGCAGCCTTGACCTAAGACGAACTCCCTTCCGCTATTCCAGAAGCGATAACGTATTCGTTGTTGAGGGGTGTGGGAATGCTGACATCATCACCAAGAATGGAACTATTGTCGGTGGTTGCTCAACGACTTGTAGAACAACCACCAACACTGTTAGTGACTTAAACAACTGCTTTGGCGTTGGTTGTTGCCAAACAACAATTGCTCAAGATCTCGAGTCGTTTACCTTAAACCGAACTGGCTTGGAAAGGCAAGATGGAGATGGAACCTCCTGTGTGTCAGCTTTCTTAGCGCATAAGTTTTTCATCACCGGAATATATTCAAGCCAATCTATGGTTGGTGACCATACTTTTGTTCCGGTTTCACTTTCATGGTGGAATGGAAATCGTACTCCAATAGGATGCAACCAGACGTGTGGAGATGTCTCGATTCCATACCCATTAGGGATTGGAAGGAGGTGTTCGGGGAACGAATGGTTCAATGTTCATTGCAACTCCTCCAAACCTTATCTTTCTTCATTCAACAACGTGGAGGTGTCGAGTGTAAACATGGAAAGATTAATTGTCGTTGTTAAGATCCCCATGAAAGTTTCGGATTGTGAGAATCCACTCCAGAATAGTAGTATTGACCTAAACTCAAGTCCATTTCATTTATCTAGGTTCGATAACTTATTCGTTGTTGAGGGGTGTGGGAATGCTGCTATTATGGAGAACGGGAGTATTGTCTCTGGTTGTTCAACGACTTGTGGGAATGGCACTGTTATTGATAGAAACAAGTGCTTTGGCGTTGGTTGTTGCCAAACTACTATTCCTCATACTCTCACGTCGTTTACGTTGAATCTAAGAGGCTTGAAAAGACATGCTGGAAATGGAAGCTGTGGGTCTGCTTTCTTGGTGGATAAGAATTCATACATGGAAGGAGGATTTTCCGGTGAATCTACTTTGGATGACCGGATTTTTGTCCCACTAGCACTTTCATGGCGCTACGTTTACGAAGTTGACCCAGATGAACAAAAATGCAGAGCGTGTGAAGCTAAAGGTGGGTTTTGTTACCATGAAGGTGGCTTGGGCTCGAATATGAGTTGTCGTTATGAAAGCAAAATTTCACTGAGTATCATTCTAGGTAAGCTATTTCTCATGTTCTCTTTTTTCAAGAAAAATTAAATGTTAAATATACTCTAATAAAAATTTGTTTTTGAAGCAAACGTCATATTTCGTATTGGCGTTATATTATCAAATTATGTAGCTACAAAAATAAAATACAATGTAATTATGATAATCTAAATATGCATATTTAACCAATTAGATTAATTATTACAAAATAATAATGTTTCTTAATTTAAATATACAATATCATTAGGATGATAAAATGAAATGTTACTAAGATGCGAAGTTAGAAAGTAAGACTATGAGAGATTGTTGAGGTGATTGATATTACTAGTAATGATGAGTTATGCATTGTACAATATTGTTGAATGTTTTAATTTTCCTATGTTAAGTTTTTGTATTATCATTTCCTTTTTCAGGTGTTAGCATAAGCATTGGGCTACTATTGATAATACTGATGAGCTATGCATTATACAAACTAATCAAGAAAACTAAAGCCAAGAGAAGGAAAAAAAGATTTTTTAAACGTAATGGTGGTATACTTCTTAAACAACAACAAGCAACAGATATTCGTTTAGTTGATAAAACCATTCTTTTCACCTCTAACGAATTGAATAAGGCCACTGACAATTTCAATGAGAATAGAATTCTTGGTCGAGGAGCTCAAGGTACAGTGTATAAAGGCATGTTATCTGATGGACGGATTGTAGCAATCAAGAAATCAATGGTGGTTGACGAAAGCCAACTAGAACAGTTCATCAATGAGGTCGTCATTCTTTCGCAAGTAAGCCATAGAAATGTGGTCAAACTATTGGGATGTTGTTTAGAGACCGAAGTTCCATTGCTTGTCTCAGAGTTCATATCAAATGGTACATTGCATGACCTTATTCATGATGAAATCGGTGAGTTCTTAATATCTTTAAATATGAGGTTACAAATCGCTATAGAGGTTGCAAGAGCACTTTCTTACTTACATTCAGCAACCTCTTTTTCCATATACCATAGGGACATAAAAACAACTAACATACTTTTAGATGAAAAATATAGAGCCAAAGTTTCTGACTTTGGAACTTCAAGGTTTGTATCAGTTGATCAAACTCACTTGACTACCTTAGTCAAAGGGACAATTGGTTACTTGGATCCAGAGTACTTCCAATCGAGCCAGTTCACTGAAAAGAGTGATGTATATAGTTTTGGAGTTGTTTTGTTAGAACTCTTAACAAGGGAAAAGCCAATTTCCTTAACTAGATTTGGTGAAAATAGAAATTTAGCTAAACACTTTATGTTAGCCATGGAAGAAGGTCGAGTGATGTCTATTTTGGATGAAATGGTTGTTAAGGAGGGTTCTAGGATTGAACTGATGGCCGTAGCTAACTTGGCAATGCGATGTTTGAATTTCAATGGTAGAAATAGGCCAACAATGAAAGAAGTTGCCACCGAGTTAGAAGGCATCATATTGTCACATGTACCTTCCACAATCGAACCTACTTTTAGACATGTGAAGAATTATGAGGAGGTAGAACTTACATATGGCGAGTCAACATCAACATCAATAACATTTGATCATAACCATTGTCAATGAATATTTGGTAAATCATAAGTTTTGTAATTAAGTCTTAGTTTTTGTTGTTATAATTTCCTTTTGATGAATAATGTAACAACAATACTTTTATCTTTTCAAAATTTACCATGGTTGTACCATTACTATGAAAATCGATCACAATAAAGTATGGTTTAAAAAAAACCTGTCGTTTCTTTATTAGAGTTTGTTATTATTTGGTATTACAGAAATAATATCAACAATCGTAGTAAAAGAGAAAGAATTAAACCACTTGAAGACTTCGCTAAGCCTTATATAAGCATTTTCTATCAACATCTCTCTAAGGTTTACTTTAATACACGAGTACATAGCACATTTAAATATAACACACAATTTGAAAAGACTTATGAGCTACATCGGTTTTTGTTGGATTAGGTGTCTAAACCCATAACTATAATTGATATGTACTTGACCCTATAATAGCATGGTCCATTTCGGGTTGCCTTCACCAGAACAATTTGACAAAATGGATATTTGAGAAAGAGGTTAATTTGTGATTTATTAATATATTATAAGAATAATATATTAATTGAGAAATCATATTATTTAATTAGTATTGGCCAAGAATTAATATGGACTTAATTTAGTAATCAAAAGAGACTGATTAAATATACAGGGACTGATTATGTAAATCAGTAAAACATATGGTTTAGGCTAATGATCCATGATTGGTTTGTGTTTGACTAAGCTTATGTAAAAGTCCATTAAGTGATAATCCAAATCAATTGTTGGGTCATAAGCTTAAGTGTAAGAATTAGGGTTACAAAAGACTCTTGGTGTGACTACCGTCAATTTCCGGTTAAGTCAAAGTCAACTGAAGTCAACAAATCAAACCGGTCAACTCCACAAAAACCCTTGCGTACTAGAGTTTACGTTATGTAAATTCTAAACAACTCGCTATTCTAATGAGAGATAATAAATCGAAAAGTGTATACGTCTAGATCTCCTTAACCTAAAACTGTGGTACGTGGCGAGCCAAACCGATAAAACAATGTTGCATACTCATCGGGAGTGTGTAAGACCCTTAAACAAGGCTTAACAGGGTTTACGGACCTTGCACTGCGAAGCCGGACACTCAAAAAGGTCACAAATGAAACCTCTCTTAACGTTGTCACTCTATCTCTCTCAAATATCTCTTTGTATGAGAAATCTCTCCAAGAATGTTAAATCTCTCCCAAATCTCTCCAAGTATGTGAAATCTCTCTCAAATCTCTCTCATAAGTTCCCGTAACTTTTTGGAATCATTCGGGTCATTCCAACCCTTAACCGGGTCAAAAACGGCTCAAAATGGAGTGAAAACGAGTAAAATAAGCTTTAGGACCTGAAACCCCTCTTAGGGCCGAAAGTCCTCTTAGGAACCGAAATTCCTCCTAGGACCGAAAGCCTAAGCAACCGAGACTTAGCAGCTGAGGAGAGAAGCCTCTCGGACCGAAAGTAAGGAGAGAAGCCTCTCGGACCGAAAGTAAGGAGAGAAGCCTCTCGGACCGAAAGTAAGAAGAGAAGCCTCTTGGACCGAAACTAAGGAGAGAAGCCTCTCGGACCGAAAGTAAGGAGAGAAGCCTCTCGGTCTCTGCTCCTCCTTCTCGGCCTCGCCTCTCGGTCTCTGCCCCCTCCTCTCGGTTCCTTGCCCCTCTCGGTTCTACCCCTCTCTCCTCTCGGTTCTAGCATCAGAAGACCGAACCTCGGCCAGATTTCGGAATTTTGTCACTTTTAGCCCATTTTTGATATTTTTAACATTTTAAGCCCGTTTTTAATTATTTTAATGCGGGATTTTCACCCAAAATCATATTTTAACATAATAAACCATATATATTCACAATTTAATCATATTTTCATAAAAATATTTATTTAAATAATAAAAGCAAGTGGGTAAAGTACAAAGAGGTGGAGTGTTGACATTGCTTTACCTTATGACACAAGCAACCACTCCCACACCCACTCTATGACCAGCCACACCTCCCCACCTTACCTAGGTCACATCAATGTCCTTTCCACTCAATTTTCACTCTTTCCCATGTTTTTGAGAGCTGGACATTCATCCTCTCTCCTCACTTCCCTCATTTTCCCTCCTTTCACCAAAAAGATCAAACTCTTTTATCACTCACTTCCTCTCTCTAGAATTCGAGATTCAAGGGCTGATCTTGGGTTTTTCCACCACATTTGATCTTCGAATCTTCAAGTGATTCTTCAAGTGTTCTTGGGTTGAACACTTCTCTTCTTCAACACTTATCTACTGAAATCATTCAAGGTGAGTTCATACCCCTACATTTTAATGTTTTCTCAAGTTTTTAAGGGGGGGGGGGGGGGGGAATACAAGTTAAAACACCAAGAACATAACTATGCTTTTCTAACAACATTCATCAGAAAAGTTCAACTCCATTCACGGACTGTTTTGGACAACTTAAACATTTTAGTTTTCAAAACTGTTTTAGGTGCAAGTATTTCCACTTCTTAGCTTTAAAATGACTACTTGAACATCTCCACACAATTTTTCTACAATTTATGGTGATTTTTACAAAACAGCCTATCTTTTCAAACACAAATCCGGACCAGTCTGTGAATATGAGCATTTTAATACAAGTTAAAGGCTTCCAAAAATCATGATAAAAATTATGAGTAAACTAGACACATTTTGGGAACTCTCAGAATTTACGGATCTAGTTTTCGACTTCGTATGATTTTTCTATGATTTTTCCAAAACAGTGCAGAATAGTTAAAGTTAGCTAACAGCATATAAATATCATAACACTTTGTATTATGTTGAGCAAAGTGTATAATCATAAGTTCTAATTATTGAATGTGTTTCCTTTTTAGTTTATCATCATAAACTGAAACTAAGTCATTCATGATAAAATTATTCATTCATTTTAGAACACGTATATTAAACTATAAAAAGTATAGTTTGATGGATTCATAACAATAATGCATTTTCATAAAAGAGTTCTTACATATTATAAACATTTTAGATAAACTATAATAGGTATAGTTTATGATACATCACTTAACAAACACGTACAAAAAGGGTATATCCATACAGAAAAGATTTACATTCACACACATTACACGTAAACTTGTTAACCTAAATTGTGAGACATTCTCTTCCCGTACGTCCGAGTGCGGGATATAATTCCTGGTAGTTATAATCAGAGTCTCCTGGAAGGAGAACGTGATACTTGTATATAGATCTATATTGGGTTTGACACCCCACACCTTGCTGCTAGCTACAGTGGGACCTGCAGGTCTACGAGTGACAAATGTCATTTCAGTTTCGCGATGCCTGAGAAACGTCGTAGCAGGTTCATTCAGTCATATTATGATTATAGCGACTCACATAGGGATATAACGATCCATAAAGTTTACGGGATTTTCATAAAACCTAAATGGGTTTTATGACGATTTAAAATCACATTTTATCTCAATAAGTACAGATAATACTGTACACTTTCGGTTTTGGTAATTATGATTACACATCATTTGAAACCACATTTATACCTTTACGTATGACCAATACTTGTTATTTCTCAGTTCTGGGATTTAGGACTACATATACATAAAGTATTAACAAAGATAAGAATCTACGGGAACTTTATTTAATTCAAGCGCGTTTTATTTCGATTTAAACACATACCATTTTCTATTACTAAGGGAGGTTACTTATACATTTTAGTCTTCGGTTATAAGACTACATTACACAGATTTTAAAGAAAATATCGGATTTTCTGGATACAATTTGATTTGTTTAATGATTTCTTGCAAAACAATTTATCAATTTACTCAAAATAATTAATCAATTATCTTATAAGGAAACAATTATCTTATTAATTGATAAATATCTTCAATTAGATCAAGAATATACTCATATATATCATAAAATCGGATTTATATTGATCTAATATGATAAAGGCAAGTATTTCAAATATAAACAACAAGAAATCCCGAAAATAGCTCCATCTGACGCTCGAACTCGCCGAGTACCCCCATGGACTCGTCGAGTCCACAGTGGGGCTCGCCGAGTCCATCATGCAGAACCACAAAAAAATGATTTTTTTCAACATACAAGGCATCAATACAATAGAAACCAATCTAGGATCTGATACCACTGATGGGTTTTGGTCATAAGACATCTTATGTCCTCATACAAACCCTAATGCTTGGATCTAGGTTTCTCTATTGTACATGCTTTGAATCCAAGACTATAAACCCTAATTCTAGCATTCAAGTAATCATATTAATATGTAATTAGGTTTAAGATCATACCTTGATTGTTATGTAGTAATAACTGTTGGATTAATGTCTAAGTCCATAACTATAATTGGTAAGACTTGACCCGACCCGGCATGGTCCATTTGGGTTGCATGGCATCATGCACTTGGATAGACTATAATGAGAGAAATAAGACACTTATGGTTATTAATATATTATAAGTTCTAGTATATTAATAATAAGAATAATAAGATTATTTAATTAGTATTGATCAAGAATTAATCTAGGATTAATTAAGTGATCAAAAGAAGACTAATTAAATATATGGGTTGATTGTGTAAATCATCCATACTTATATAGTGGGCTAATGCTCCATGGATTATCTAGTTGGGCCAAAACCCATATGATGCTCCATGGATGCTCCATGGTGTATTTGAACCCATGGATCCAAGGAAATGGAAAGTCATGACAATTAGGGTTTACCCTAATTGTAACACTATATAAAGATATTATTCTTCCCAAAATCGGTCACTAGATTATTCTAAGAGGGCTAGCCGATTTCATGAAGTGTAGAATTCTCTCTAAGTTATTCCAAGTGTTTATGGTGTTGTGTGAACCATTTGAGGTGTCACACTTGGGGCACTAGGCACTCAAGCTTCATGAAGACAAGCACTATCAAAGAGGTATGTATTCTATCTTGTTATATTGATATTTGTATGCTAGATTAGGATAATACCTTGGATGTTCATATTTGCATGTATAATAGAGAAAACATAGATCCAAGGTATTTAGGGTTGCATGTACACTTAGGAGTGTTAGAATGCTCATAACCCAACAGTGGTATCAGAGCCTAGGCTTGTTTTCTTGTTATACCTGCAATAGAAGCTGAAAAATCGAGT